AAACAAACGGTATTGAATGAAAACAATAGTGGAGCCAAGTTTAGCATCAGCAGGAAAGTTGGTTATAATTCTCATCTCGCCAAACAAACTATCGAGGTGTTGTCATATTTATTGACATTTCGTACTAAAGACGCTACGCATGCGCACCTAAAACCGGATATGGTACGGATGGAGGAGGGGGTAACGTGTCCGAGTTCTATGCAGAATTCTGTCATGACAAACCGCAGTGTACCCCCGATATATTGCCGGAACACTGTCTCACCCTTTGAATCAGATACCTCTCCCTTTCCGGGGTAGAATAGGTCTTCAGCAACCCATCCTTGCCGTAAAAAGCGACAACGCTTGTCGTAAGAGTTATAGTTTCTTAGGCCCGGCAGTTTATAATACGAAAAGCAAATACGTAACTGGCCAGTATGGTCGTCAGACTGTTTTCCTCTCACGTATCAAGAAATGCGAGACCCATGAAGATCCGGGGTAAAATAGGTCTTCAGCAACCCATGCTTGCCGTAAAAGGCGACTAAGCATGTCGTAAAAGGCGACTAACGGGATCGGGTGGTCAGGCTCGCTGATTTGGTTGATGCATGTCATCGATCTCAATTGCGTGGATCGATGCTCATGATATCAATCACTGGATTGTCTGGTCCAGACTCGATTATTTACAGACCGCCGTCATATAGCTGGAATATTGCTGAGTGCGGCGTTAAACAACAGACAAACATGAGTACCATGTGAAGCGAAACACATATATGTTCGTTGCTGTAACCAAGTAACCACAGATATGTTTTGCTATCAAATTAGACTATCAAATAAGTTGTTTGGCAACGGATCAGATTGTGCATCTGATTTAGATACAAGTGTTCCTACCACAGGAATAATTAATAACATGCGTTTCCGTCAATCCATGACTAGACGTACAGAACAACTGCCGTTCTCTTGTCCCTAAGCCGATCTCTGGTGTCTCCGCGCTGTGATATGGATGGCATTGTACAAACTGCGGCGTAACACACGACTGAATCACATTACTTCCATGCAATAAGGCCGGCGTGTGTGGACTTTGAACAGCTTGTTTGTCAAATCACAGGGTGTCAGTTTAATGTGGGCATGGTGGCGGTCGTAGACGTTTGATTAAACCTTCGACCACGGGTCCGGTGCTGACAGACCAGGGGTTATAATCGGGACGCTTCAAACTTAGGATCAGCGAATCCTGGTATCTAAGGGAAGCAACAATGACGTGAGGTTTGGATTGAGGATGCATGTGCCCCAGAAGATGGTTATCAACATGATGAAGATGCGTACCTGCGTGCAAAGGTGCAGCGGTTAACTTCAATCAGTGCAACACAATTTATGTTGAGTGTGTTTTGCCTTTAGCAGTATCGAGCAATATTATGAGAGTGGGCATTGGACCAAGGCTGGGAATTGAACTCACCTTGATGCCTGACAGACCTACAATTTAACCACTGCACCATTGCACTGCGCAAGGCCAGTATCGCTTCTACTGGGGCCAACTTTACTAAACATTCTGCAGTTTAAAATCTCCAATATAAGAATCTACGGATATCACAATGGTTCGTCAGTGTCATTTATGAAAGTGAGTATCATGTGGTCCCGTCCAGTGCTAACAATGGTTAACAGTTTGTGTAAAGTTTTGATGTTTTTGTCGTCGCTGTTGATGTCCATGGCTGAAGAGTCACCTTGTGGCAACACAACCACTCACGTCTGCATCGTTGATGTAGACATCGCCTACAGGGGTGCCCCTCACGCCAGACTTACCGTTACAACTTGGCTGTCGTGTCACCGATATACACAGGGGGACGGAGGTGAGTGTTAACCTGACGAGTGTACTCAACTTTGTTTGTTTGTTTGTTTGTTTGTTGTTTAACGCCGCACTCAGCAATATTCCAGCTATATGACAGAGGCATGTACATTATCGAGTCTAGACCAGAGAATCCAGTGATTGACATCATGAGCATCGATCCACGCAATTGGGATCGATGACAAGCATCAACCAAGACAGCGAGCCTGACCACCCGATCCCGTTAGTCGCCTCTTACGACAAGCATAGTAACCTTTTACGGCAAGCATGGGTTGCTGAAGACCTATTCTACCCCGGAATCTTCACGGGTCTGACAAGCATGGGCTGCTGAAGACCTTTTATACCCCGGATCTTCACGGGTGGACAAGTCAGTAAAATGAGCAGAACTATAGACCAGAATAGTACAGATTCTAGTACTTAATTGGGTTGGGAGCCGTGCCAATTAACACTTGTCAGAAGGGTACACAAAGTACGTGATCTAGACTACCAGTTGTCGGACTTTCATTTTGTGGAAGCCTCGGTGTCTGAGTGGGTTAGATCGCTGACTTTGCGTGCTGGCGATTAAATGCCTCACTCTGGCAGTGTGGGTTCCAATCCCGGATGGGACTCAACCCAAAAAAGTACAATCATCTGTACTTTACTAAGGAAGTGTTATCCAAAATATAGCTTGTTACATTTGACAACGTTCTAAATGGCATTTATACGTTTCTATGTGGGACTCAAAACTAAGCTACCCATGCTTGCCGTAAAAGGCGACTATGATTTGTCGTAAGAAGCGACTAATGGGATCGGGTGGTCAGGCTCGCTGACTTGGTTGATGCATGCCATCATATCCAAATTGAGTAGATCGATACTCATGACGTCAATCACTGGATTATCTGGTCCAGACTCGATTATTTACAGACTGCCGTCATAAAGCTGAGTGCGGCGTAAAACAACAAACAAACAAGACGAATCCAATAATGATCCTAGTACCTGACACACCGCTTCTGCGACAGGTCCTGTACCGCTGGTAATACTTTGATGTTGTTACAGTTGCAGCGTCCACTACTTTAAGCACGACCGCGTTCGTGACCAACTCGTGTTATTCCGGGACAAGCCGAATAGCGACTCGTGCCCCTCTCATAGCCTTTTTTGCGACCGGGTTCCGTCTTAGCGCAAACGGGCATACCTAAAACAATTGTCAACTCGTTGCGTAATGGTTCACATATATTTCCCCGTATATTATATATATTTCAGATGCAATTTAAAGCACACCTGGACATGCGGAATTATACAGTATGATTGAACACATCTAACTGTGTCCTTGGTATATTTTTATATGCAAGACATATGTAAAATCAAAATTATTTCTGAGGGATTCTTTGATAACAACTTGAAATCAAAGGCGCTTTCTGATTGGTTTGTCGTATTTACGCACATGACATTCATCGATATGGGGACGAGTCTTCTTGCAGGTTACGGAAAGGGGCGAGTGGTGACGAATGGCACGACCGGTTCCGCTGCTTCCACTGCTGGTGGTGGTCGTGGTGATGAAGTCCCTACAAAGACAATTCCCATAACAGGTTTTGTGGGTACTGCTACTGTTGCCTCTGATACCCCGTCAGCCAATGTGATAACAAGTACCAACATTCCCAGCACAACCAATTCGCTTCAGAACATCACAAATGACCGTCCGGGAAATAGCAAAAATGCAACAAATTCGTCAAATTTGATGAGCAACATCATATTGGTTTCTGCTGATCTCCTGGTGCTGGCGAACAGAAAGTGGTACAGGTACAATTTCCACAAGGACTCATCTATGCAGATAGGGAGCACTGTCAGATGTCAGTATGTTGGCTATGACTCCAAAAACAAGCGCCTTATCTATGGTAAGAAGAACAACATTGCCATCGGCTATCTCACTGGGCAAGACTTGACACCGGAGTATCTTCGCATAGGAGGCACAGGTAATATATACTGTGCAGAAAAGTTTAGGGATTATGATTTATTTGGATTTTTTGTTGTGAAGACAGCGCACTCAAGTTCGTAAAAAATAGCCCTAAAAATAATCATGATCCCTAACTCATTTTGCTCAGTATAGATGATAGACCCTGTGATACAGACCTGGTTTTAGTTTGTTGTTTATCTTCGCACTCAGCAATAATCCACGCTGTCTGTAAATAATCGCGTCTGGACCGGACAATCAAGTGACTGATATTATGCAAGATACCCAAAATGATGACTGCACTCATGTGTGCAAAGAAATAAGAACGATCCTAGATCGTAGTACGATTCTTTGAGTGAGTTTGGTTTTACGCCGGTTTTAGCAATATTCCAGCAATATCATGGCGGGGGACACTAGGAAAGGAATTCACACATTGGGGTGTGGGGAGTCAAAGGAGCGAGCGAACGGCGTAACGACCAGGCTGTCCCACCGCTTCAGATGGTGTTTTGGACTCTTGAATGGTACTAAGTGCAGTGTTAGCAGAAACAAACAAATATAACAAAACATCATTCGAGATCATGGCACCTGCGGTATTCTTTTTTTCAAAATCAGGAGTGACTTCAATGTTTGCGATGGACACAAATGAAGACCGATTGTTCTTAATTGGGACCATCACCATCAAGGATGGGGGAAGGTGCCCAGTGTGTATCTACAGCCTTAGTACTGTGGAGAGAAGTGACCCATTGTTCATAAAGGATGTTCACCGGGATATTCCAGTCAGTGGAACAAGAATGGCTATTGATATCAAGACCAAGTGAGTGTGTGTGTGTGTGTGTGTGTGTGTGTGTGTGTGTGTGTGTGTGTGTGTGTGTGTGTGCATTGTCTTTCAAGTAAGGGAGTACTACCCTGACACCATTGCATTCAAGTAATTATGCGAATATATAATTGCGAGAGAGTATTTACAACCCCAAAAGAATCTTCAAATGATATATTCATGTATTAAATCCTAGTTAACAGCAACGATTTATGTTTTAGGACACTGTACATGGTGACGGAACAGGTAGAGAGCACTGGCTTTCAGTACAAGAGATATATATCTGGTGTCTCCTACTCAGGACAGGAGAAGAAAAGGACCCCTATCAACACAGGGAAAACGTATGGTCTGGTCTTTGATAGTAAAGGTAAAGGAGGATACAGGGACAAGGGGGTGGCAGCGTGGAGTTTGTGCACAGCTTTTTTTATTTTTTTGTTTGTTGTTTAACGCCATATGATGTCAACCGCTGAAGTGTCTGGTCCAGATTCGATTATTTACAGACCGCCGTCATATAACTGGAATATTGCTGAGTGCGGCGTTAACAACAAACAAAACAAACAAACAGTAGGATGGCCATGCAAAGGAAAGGATTTCCGGAGATAATTCTCTGGGGAACAAGTGGCTTGCCTGTGCATGTGTTTGTGACCGATGCCACCTGACGATGCCACCTGACGGGCAGGGTACGAATATCTGGTATCCTTACTGTTTGATAGTGATCCATAGACAGACGCTTACGATATTGTCGGAATGGAACAATTGACTCTTAGGAAACTTCTCACTTATTTGGTCGACCGCGTCCGTGATCTTGTCGGTATATCTGGTGCACACACACACACACACACACACACACACACACACACACACACACACACACACACACACCACACACACACACACACACACACACACACACACACACACACACACACACACACACACACACACACACGCGATATTTATCGTACGTTAAACCCAATCTTTACCTCACACCTACGAAAATGGAAATGGTTTTGACGCTTTAATTTATATCTTTTTACAGAAAATGTCCTGCTTTACGTGAATAAGAAAAACGTATTAGTTAGTGTGGACCCGCTGACAGATCACGTGACACAACTTTCCTATGAATGCCCTAGAAGTACTAAGTTGATTGTGGTGGCTGACGACAGGATCATACTTCTGGGAAGTACACAGTAAGTCACAACATTTGAAGTAATGAGGTCATAGTTCTCTGAAGTACACAGTAAGTCTCAACATTTGAAGTAATGAGGTCATTGTTCTCTGAAGTACACAGTAGGTCAAAACAATTTAAGTAATGAGGTCATAGTTCTCTGAAATACACAGTAAGTCACAACATTTGAAGTAAAGAGATCATAGTTCTCTGAAGTACACAGTAAGTCTCAAGATTTGTAGTAATGAGATCATAGTTCTTTGAATTACACAGTAAGTCGAAACATTTGAAGTAATGAGATCATAGTTCTTTGAAGTACACAGTAAGTCTCAAGATTTGTAGTAATGAGGTCATAGTTCTCGAAAGTACACTGAAATATCAACATTTGTAGAAATAAGGTCATACTTCTGGGAAGTACACAGTAAGTCTCAACATTTGCAGTCATGAGGTCATAGTTCTCTGAAGTAGACAGTAAGTATCAACATTTGAAGTGATGAGATCATAGTTCTCTGAAGTACACAGTAAGTCTCAACATTTGAAGTAATGAGGTCACAGTTCTCTGAAGTACACAGTAGGGCTCAACATTTGGAGTAATGAGATCATAGTTCTCTGAAGTACACAGTAAGTCTCAACATTTGAAGTAATGAGGTCATAGTTCTCTGAAGTACACAGTAAGTCTCAACATTTAAAGTAATGAGGTCACAGTTCTGTGAAGAACACAGTAAGTCTTCACATTTGAAGTAATGAGGTCACAGTTCTGGGAAGTACACAGCAAGTCTCAACAGTGGTAGTAATGAGGGCATAGTTCTCTGAAGTACACAGTAAGTCTCAACATTTGAAGTAATGAGATCATAGTTCTCTGAAGTACACAGCAAGTCTCAACATTTGTAGTAATGAGGTCATAGTTCTCTGAAGTACACAGTAAGTCACAACTTTTGAAGTAATGAGATCATAGTTCTCTGAAGTACTCAGCAAGTCTCAACATTTGTAGTAATGAGGTCATAGTTCTCTGAAGTACACAGTAATTCTCAACAGTGGTAGTAATGAGGTCATAGTTCTCTGAAGTACACAGTAATTCTCAACAGTGGTAGTAATGAGGTCATAGTTCTCTGAAGTACACAGTAAGTCTCAAGATTTGAAGTAATGAGATTATAGTTCTCTGAAGTACACAGTTAGTATCAACATTTGAAGTAATGAGGTCAAAGCTCTCTGAAGTAGACAGTATTAACATTTGAGTGAGTGAGTGAGTGAGTTGGGTTTCACGCCACTTTCAACAGTATTCCAGTTATATCACGGCGTGCCAGCTTAATGTGGGAGGAAAGCCCGAAGTGATGCAGGTCCCAGACGTTTACCACTTCGGTGAAACCCACGAGCAAGGGTATGTTGCTGACAAACCTAGAAACATAATCGGGGCGAACCGGGATTCTCAACATTTGAAGTAATGAGGTCATAGTTCTCTGAAGTTTTCAGCAACCCATGCTTGCCCCAAAAGGAGACTATGGTTGTCGTAAGAGGCGACTAACGGGATCGGGTGGTCAGGCTCGCTGACTTGGTTGATGCATGTCATCGTATCCCAATTGGCTGGTTCGATGCTCCTGATATTAATCACTGGATTGTCTGGTCAAGACTCGATTATTTACACACCGCCGTCATATAGCTGGAATTATGTCTGAGTGCGGCGTAAAAGAACAAACCAATCTAACAACTTAGTGACAATTTGACAAAAATTTGTTGAGGAGGTTCTGGCTATCATGTATTGATGTTATATATTTGGTTGTGCAGTTATGTTGTGTGAGCTCTTCCTTGAGTTGGTTAAACGTGGGCGTATGATTGGAATATTTAAATCTATAACTCATGTATTTTGATACAATGATTAGCGCATGTATTGGGTTGTATGTCTGTGCTGGATAACCTATTAAGAAAACGTCTTTAGTAATTTTGATTTTGATCTGTAGTCCTGTTATAGTGCCGCTATCAGTTGATGTACGTTTCACATTTCAGGGCGTTTGACTACGACAGACAATGGGAAAGGAAGAACGCCATCAAATTAGAAAGGGGAGTACAACTAGCAGTTTTAGTGGATTCCTCGATGTGGCCACACAGCGATGCTCCGTCTGTGTGATGTGTACCAATTACATTGTCTCCAACAAAATTCTCTATATATCTCCACAAATATAGTTTTTTGTTTTTGTTTTTGTTGTTGTTGTTGTTGTTGTTTAACGCACTCAGCAATATTCCAGCTGTTCGACGGCGGTCTGTACATAATCGAGTCTGGATCAGACAATCCAGTGATTGACATCATGAACATCGACCCATGCAACCAAGTAAGCGGGCCTTGCAACCCGATCCCGTTAGTCGCCTACTACGACACGCATAGTTGCCTGCTACGGCAAGCATGGGTTCCTGAAGACCTATTCTACCCCGGGTCTTCACGGGTCCCATGAATATAGGGGCGGTTGGATAGCCTGTTGGTTAATGCGTCCGTTCGTCACGCTGAAAGACCGGGTTCGATTCCCCACATGGGTACAATTTATGAAGCCCATTTCTTGTGTCCCCCCCCCCGTGATATTGAGGAATATTGCTAAAAACGGCATAAAATACAACTCACGCCATAATTGCATTCTCCATGTTAGCTTGATGTGGGATAAAAACCCGAAGTGATGCAGACGTTTACCAATTGGTGAAACCCACGAGCACATGATGTTTGTTTGTTGTTTAACGCCCCACTCAGCAATATTCCAGCTATATGACGGCGGTTTGTAAATAATCGAGTCTGGACCAGACAATCCAGTGATTGACATCATGAGCGTCGATCCACGCAATTGATATACGATGACATGCATCAACCAAGTCAGCGAGCCTGACCAACCGATCCCGTTAGTCGCCTTTTATGACAAGCATAGTCGCCATCTACGGCAAGCATTGGTTGCTGAAGACCTATTCTTACCCGGATCTTCACGGGTCTCGCATTTCTTGACACGTGAGAGGAAAACAGTTACGTATTTGCTTTTCGTATAATAAACTGCCTGGGGCCACGGGTGGCCCAGTCGTCTTAGGCGCCGCGATTCGCTGTGCAGAGTTGCGTCCCTTGGGCACGCCAGAAACCTATGATTGTGGGTTCGAATCCCGGTTCGCCCCGATTATGTTTCTAGGTTTGTCAGCACCATACCCGTGCTTGTGGGTTTCACCGCAGCGAAACGTCTGAGACCTGCATCACTTCGGGCTTTCCTTCCACATTAAGCTGACACGCTGTGATATAACTGGAATACTGTTAAAAGCGGCGTTAAACCCAACTCACTCACTCACTCACTATAAACTGCCGGGCCTAAGAAACTATAACTTGAACCGAAACATTACAAACTTTATCAAAACGTTTCTATACTGGAAACAGTGCCCGAAAAACTGCAAACTTAAGGTCCAAAAAAACAACTAGGAAAATCGTAACAAATACCAACGTATAACCATTTCTATGTGTTCTTTTGGTCACCATCAATCATGCGTGTACACTTTCCTTAGCCCCCCGTCATTTTTCTTCAGTAAAGTCTATAAACGGTTACAGAGCTAAAAAACGACCCGTGAAGATCCGGGGTAGAATAGGTCTTCAGCAACCAATGCTTGCCGTAAAAGGTCACTATGCTTGTATTAAAAGGCGACTAACGGGATCGGGTGGTCAGGCTCGCTGACTTGGTTAATGCATGTCATTGATCCAATTGCGTGGTTCGATGCTCATGATATTAGTCACTGGATTGTCTGGTCCAGACTCGGTTATTTTACAGACCGCCGTCATATAGCTGGAATATTGCTGAGTGCGGCGTTAAACAACAAACCAACCAACCAACTACAGAGCAAAAAGGCGAGAAATCATAATGGCCCCTTTAAAACCCACTGAAAGTTGAGCCTGTAAATTTCCTGAAATATTCACAATGCTGTAATAAAGGTTATCGGTCCTGTTTATATGACTGCTATCTGACTCTTTTCCTTTTTATCACGTCAGCGTTGGACTGATGATGCTGTCAATTCCTAGTCCCATGAACAATTCATAGCAATTGCTGAAGGTGTTTCTCACGTCCTGAATTATACATTATCCTGCCGCGGTCTTAACGTGAGTAATAAATCACATAACTGATCAATGGCATGGGGAGACCCAGTCGTTTTAAGCGCTGCGATTCTCTGTGCTGAGTTGGGTTGGTTGGTCTGTT